CAGCCCTGTCGGAGAAGCTGAGGAAAACCTATTATTTTACGCTGTTTCATTTGGAGTAAAACTTGGTCAATAATTAGAACGTAAAAACCATATCCAGGGCCACCGGAAAAGAGGTTGAAATGTGAATATCTGAACTTAACAGACAGGAAGTAACAGATAAATTTCATCGGACGCAATTACAAACATGCGTGTTCAATGTTATTTTTAGCTTCCGGACCTTAACAATTAATTTATCCAAAACACCGTCGATACGAATTATTTTATTATTATTTAGTGTTCTGTCTGACGACAGGTCCATATGAACAGGATCCTTCCATCCTTTTCTCGGACTGGGACCTGTTCATATACGTTCTTGGCAGATGATCCAGAAGTGGTTTGCCATTGCCTTCTTCTGTGTGTGAATGGAGTAATTGTTGGGATGCCACGGAGAAACCGGGGAAGCCCCCGGAGGAAAACTCCGTATTACCTAGACCACGGCCTTGCCCAACACAAGTTATAAATTCGGTAACCGCCGGGAATCGAACCCGAGTCCCCAGGATTACATGAAATAAAAGTCATTCACAGTACAGACACACGCACGCCTACGGAATACATACACAGCGTTTCCCGTCACATTCAGACATGTCTCGGTCCGTGTTTGATCAGTACGTCGTTTAAGACTTCCCCGACTTTGGCGTACGAACTGTGTTCTTGTTTATTAACTCCAGAGCGTAGACGACACCAGCAATCACACGGAGTGTTGAGCGCTGGGGGTAAGTGAGGAACTCTTCACACACAAACACCGCGTGGCTCACGGCTTCCCAGTGTCCTTGTCGTCAAAATGGCCGGCCAAAAAAACATCCTCCAGTAAAAACGTACAGTGTGTATCAATGTTAAATGAACCACGCGTAAACAGACTAAAAATTCCCAAATTGTATGTGGGGGGGGGGGAAATTTTAATTCACTTCAAAAGTGCGTCGCTGAAAAATATGGCGGATGGTCAGAGACTCTGAAAATTAGTACAATTTACAGATAAATGTATAACCTACTCGACTTCCCATCCCAACTTTTCCACTTCCAAATGCCTTTACCTTACCAAAAGGACGAACGGGCACTGCCTGAGGACCTTCGTAGCCGCAAATCAAAATTTATGCTCCGCCCCCTTTAAAAACAGTATTGCCTATCGATTAA